GATGCTCTTCCAGCTTCTGACCCCCCAGCCGGCCTGGGTTTCCTTGGGCAATGCTCGATCTCTTCGGAAAGGAAGGGCAAAAACAAGGACAAGGATAATGATCCCTGGGTCACAGGTTCCCATCTGTGGGGCATGGCCAAGGACAATATCAAGGGCGAGGATTTTCACGCCGAGGTGAGGCGGCAGCATTTCGCTTGTTACGTGTCCTTCCCAATTTTCTTCCCCCTCGAATATATTATTCCCTCCGTTTCCCTCTGCTCGTTTTGGCGCTGTGCCTCAGATATTGGTAGGGGATCGAGGAGGGCGGGGATGAGGGTGTGGTTGAGAATGAGTACTACCTGGCAGTGTAATCTGCCGTGTGGCTGCTAGCTTGATAGCTTGTCCAGTCGCGGTCATTGCTCCGTTCTGTACCTCATCAGCCTTCCCCCCCTCCCGAACGAGGGTGTGCGCGGCGTCTAGAGCCACTGGGATGGCCGTCCGTCTGCTCGTAGGTCAGGATTGTCTGGCATGGCGAGTGGCGTTGTAGGGCCCCTGCGTCGTTGTCGTTGCTGCTGGGTTTCCGCCGCCGCCACCTTCCGTTGCTGGACAACCCTAGCCTTGTCTTCCGACATGTTCATTCCAATCCTCCTCCTCCTCCTCCTCCTTCTCTTTCATTCTCTCACCTCTTCGCGCCCCCTACACTTGCACAACATGAGTACACAGCATCGCTCATGCGTGATGTGCTGGAGGTGCAGTCAAATTCGTTTTAAGTCAGATTCTTTCATGTCTGCCTTTGAACATTGGTGCTTTCGCTGATGCGTTTGCAATATCTGTTCGCCAGCGTTGACCCCGAGCAGTAAGGTATTGCACTGTGGATCTGCGAGCTATGTAGTGCAGTCTACTTGGTGCAACTATGTTGGGCAAGCCATGTGGTGCAAACTATGGATGCAACTCGCTTGTGGAACTCGCAGTTGTCAGCCCCACTGCTCGGGCAGTCATCCCAACCATCCACCCGCAACTTGTTTTGCAATGCGGCGGCGATTGCGATGAGTGCGTGGCGTTGGCTGGCGCATCTCTGCGGCCGCACTGGCCCGCGTATGCTCGCGCGCGCAGCGGCCAACTAGTTTTGGCACGACCAGCGCGGCCGCGGTGTCGCCGACCTCTGGGCATTTCGCAGCGGCCACTTCAGTGCGAGTCGGCCACTCGGGCGGGCTCGGTATCATGGCAACGTCGACAACCGTAGACGCGATGAAGATAGTAGCGACGCTGCCGACGATAATGACCGCGGTGACGGCACGGCCAGTGACGGCGCCGATGCGGATCACGCCAACGATGATGACGGCGTCCTCGCGTCGGTGATGAAGGTTTTGGAAGAAGTTCGACTTGAGCGCGCGACCGACGCGCGAGACTGGCCCGCGTGTGATTATTTCACACGCGTCGTGCCCCCTCCCCAGCGCGTGCGCAAGGGCCTTCGATTCATGTCGACCTGCGGCGCGAAAGGCCCGTTCGGCCTAATTTATTCAGATGGATGAAACAGCCAGATGGTTTTCTGGAGAGTTCGCAGGAACGCGAACGCAGTTTTCTGTTGAAGCCGGATGTTGTGAAATTACGTTGTCCGTATGTTTTCGGGGCACTTGGTTTTGACATCTTTACGGCACCGCGGGATTTTGAAGGATTTCCGCATATGCGCGCGGCGACGCGCGCGTGTGCTCATCTTTTTTCTTTGCAAGGGGTTCTTGCGACAGCATACGCGCAAGGGCGTTGGAACGATCTCGACATGCGCGCGCGAGAGGCCAGTTTGGTAGCGTTTTCAGAATTTGTTGAACAACCTTTTTCTACTATGAGAAATCGCAAGAGTTTGTTTTTTTTGCAGATTCCTTGTCGCGGATTCAAGAACTTATATATATATATATACATATATATATATATATAGATTTCCATATATACACACACTTTTTTTTGTTTCTCTCTCTCTCTCTCTCTCTTCGGGGCATTCGATTTTCAGATCCTTGCGAACCACTAAGTTTTCAAACGGATTTCGGTATGCGCGCGACGACGCGCGCGTGTGCACGTCGTCCCTTTTTTGCGAAGGGGTGGTTGACAACTGGCGGCCTTTGATCGGCGAGACCGCGCGCATAGTATATTTTGCAGAAGCTGAGCGGAGGGGCCGTTGCCTGTTAGGTTGGTATCCGATAGATTCATATGCATGGTAATTTGTGAGTTGTACTACGAAAAAGGGTGGCCCGTTAAGTTCGGGGGGGGGAGGGGGGGGAGATCCTAATATTCTTTTAGATATGGTGCAAGCTCTGCGGTGCAAGCTATGCGGTGCAAGCTATGTGCTGCAGGTTAGGTGGGGCAATCTACGTGATGTAAGCTACGTGGTGGAATCTACGTGGTGTAACCTATGTGGTGTGAGCTATGTGGTGCACGCTATGTGGTGTAAGCTATGTGGTGCACGCTGTGTGGTGTAAGCTATGTGGTGTAAGCGATGTGGTGTAAGATATGTGATGCAAGATGCGTGGTGCAAGCTACGTTGGGCGGCCACGGGGCGGTCACGGGAGGCCACTGGGCGGCCACGGGCGGCCACGGGCGTCCGCGGAGCGGCCGCGGGTGGCCACGGGGCGGCCTCAAACAACTCGCCGGGATACCCACACAATTTTTGTAAAGCAAGTCGTTCAGAATCCGTAAGGGCAAACACTGTTTGGGGCATGCCTTGATCACAAGAGAGCTTCCGCCCAACGGGACAAAACTGTCGCCGCAGCTGTGGAATCGGCGGTTGGATTTATTGCATGCCATCAGATCGTTTGCTGCGTTTGAACGTGGTGCGCTTGCTTGTGCGTTTGCGCCAGGGATTGGCCGTCCAACAGAACTGCGCTGTCGCCGCAGCTGTGGCAGTGGCGGTCGTGCTGTTGCACCAGTGAAACAGATGATCCCGCTGCGGGTTTTGTCACATGTTTATATCTCCGTCGATCTCCAATGGAGCGGATCCTTCGCCGCAGCGTTGGTCATAATCTTGCATCAGCGAAGTGGTGATCCCTTCAGCGTGGGCCACATGGATTTCCACACAGAGCTTTCGTCCAACGGAACGGCGCTTTCTCCTCGGCGCTGCACGCCCCCCTGCCTTTGCATGTGCTGTGCCTCATCCGGGATTCTTTCGATTCGGCTTTGCGGATGGAGCGGAGTTCGGGGGGAAGTGGTAGGCCGTCACATATGGCGCTAGCGCAGCTAGCTGGTCCATACCCCTTCTTCCCTCCCCCCGTCACCCTTCCCCCACTTTCCCTCTTCCTCCTCCCGCCCTTCCTCACTTTCTCCGCTGGGCCTGGCAGGTCCTCTCTGGGCTGCACGGGGACCAGCTGAACGAGCGCAACATGCCCGAGTACAGCAGCACGTTCGCCCGCCAGATGCAGTCCAGCGCGGCCTGACGCCGGGTCGCGTTTGTCGTTGCTGCCGCTGCCGCTGCCGCCGTCGTTGTCGTCGTCGTTGACGTCGTCGTCGTTGTGGTTTCATCCCAATTTCGCCCTCGTCCCCAAGAGCAAAAGAGAAAGAGAGAGAGACATGAACAGAAATGACCCCCTTTTCGTCCTCGTCCATGTTCTCGCCCCCCAGACACACTACAGTCAACTCGCATAGTAAGGATGAGCGACTTTCCAAGGTTAGCCTTACATCTTCCCCTTCGGCCCATCCTTGGCGACTTTCGCTGCCCGCGCCACGCCCGCAAATTGTCGACATGGCCTTCCTAGGCTCTTGCATCCTTATCGTGCGTCCTTACTATAAGGGTTGACTGAATGTAACCCCTTGGAATCTATTGGGAACCTAGGGGGCTCCATCGATATTGTGAAACCTCCTCTGAAGCCACGGCTTGCTCCTCCTCGTCCTTCTTCCTGTCTTCTTTGTATCCGCCCGTCTCCCCTTCTTGACTTGTTTTTTTTTCCTGTCTCTTTCGTTGTCTGCCTGTCTGTGTGTGTGTGTGTCTCTCTCTCTCTTTCTCTTTCCCTCTATCTCTCTCCCTCTCTATTCTTTGCAGTTGGCCGTGCTGAATACTGCTTTCCCCTCGCCCCCGACGACGGGCCATAATCCACCCGCCCTCTCGGCGCACGGGCTTGTCACAGTCAGGATCTCAAGCGCTTGTGTTCCGTGCGAATGTCTCCCTTCGTCGAGCGTCTTCGGCCGTTCCGAAAGACGCTTTCGCCTCGGTGCCTGGCGCGCGACGCTAGCATTGACCAGCCCTATGCGATTGACGAGTTTATCCAACAGTTGGATATTGGCCAACTGCCAGCTCTCAGCCTGAACATGTCGTTTCCGAGCATCAGCAGAGCAAATGACAACCCCCCGCCCCACCAACGGATACTGCCACGCCTGCGCCCGTCCCGACGACGGTCTCCCCGCCCTTCAATCTTTGCTGATAGGGGTCATGGGTTGTCGCCACGAGATGCAGGTCGCCAGGCCATTGGGCGGAACGCCACTGCCGCTGCTGCTCTCGCTTCGGCGCCTGCCACAATCTGGCGAGTAGGTAGGTCAGGCGCAGCTCGACATCTGAGTTTTGTCTGCGGCTCTGCCCTTTTTGTCGTTGTTTCTTTTGTGGAACTGCCTGGGGACCCGCATGGATCATGGACGTGTGACCCAACGTGTTGCGGCGCGATTGGGCAAACACCATGAGCATGAATGCCTGCGTGGACCCCAGGCAGTGTATTCTTAGAGTGCGTTCTATCTGGTGTAAGCTTTAAGATGTAAGCTATGTGGTGCAATATTTGTGGTGCAATGTCTCTGGTACAGGCTTTGTAGTGCAAACTAGGTCGTGCACGCTATGTTGTGCGGGTTAGGTGTTGCAACCAATGCGGCGCAATATATGTGGCGCAAACCGTGTGGTGCAAGCCATCTGGTGCAGGCTGTGTGGTACAATCTGTGCGTGGCAAAACATATTGTGCGAGTTAGTTGGCGCACTGGACGCACGCGAAGCGCACGAAGCGCCCACGAAACGCCCACGGGCGCCCACCGAGCGACCCCCCCAGCGGATCCACGCACGCAGGGCACCCACGAAGTGCCGCTAGGCGCCCATCGGTTGAAACCGTGGCAGGCCCACCAACGCGTGGCGCCCACGAAACGCCCATGGACGACCGCCGTGCGAACCCCAGCTGACCCGTCCAGCTATTTGACAGAATGAACAGGGGCCCCTCCGTGCAAGCACTGGTTAGGGAACGATTCTCTGCTCTTTCTTCCCAGATCATGTGCCATCGTGCTCCCACCTCTTTCGCGTATTGTTTCCACGCGAGAAACTTCAGCAGTTTTTAGTACTGTTTATGTATACGTACATGTATATGTATATGTACATGCAAATGTATATGTACATGTGTATGAACATCTATGTGTAGAGACATATACACATGTAGATGTACTTGTATCTGTACATGTTGTGTATATAAGTGGGCATGCGTATGTACATGTATATGTATATGTGTATGTTTATTCATGCATCTGTGCATGTGTCTTTGTCTATGTGAATGGGGATGTATGTGAAGACGTGTGTGCATTTACACATATTCATAATTCTGTAACTGAGACTGTGGATGTGCATGTAACTGTTTATGTTTATGCAGAGGTATTCATATATAGGTATTTGCGTACACACATATATGTATGCATATATATATATATATATATATATATATATCTGGTTACGTGCATGTATATGTGTTTGTATGTGTACAGGCATAATCATATGCATACGTATATATATATATATGTATGTATGTTTTGAGCATATACATATACTCACGCCTATGCTGTGCCTTTATATAGATATGTATAGGTATATGTATATGCATTTGCATATGGTTTTCGTGTATAGTTAGGTGTGTATTCGAACCTGTATTTATCAATATATTTACATCCTCAAACGTGTGTATCGACGGATCTGTACATGTATACGTATGTGTGTATATTTATGATATGTATATGAATACATGCATGTATATGTATATGTATATGCATATGTAAATGTATAGGTACATGTATACGTATATAACTATGTTTATGCTTATGTCCGTGCAGATTTATAGTTGTTTGTCTAGGCATGTGCATATGCATGTATGGATGCATGTTTGTTTGTATGCTTAAATATATGTATATATCCAATATCCACCGCAAATGCAGAGAAAAGGCTGACGGTGCGGCGGGGTCGTCGGCAGTCCGCGAGGCTCTGAAGAAACCCGCCGCAGGTGACGACAATTTTACACATGACACAGCGAGCCCACCGCAGGCGCCGCAGTTTCGTCAAAACGATGTGGGTGGGTTGCGGGTGGGTCGCGGGTCGGGGTCGCTGATTGGTCAGGGGCGGGTCGCAGGCGGGTCACGGACGAGGACATCAACAAACAACAAACACCAAACAACAACAACAACAACAACAACAACAACCAACAACAACAACAACAACAACAAAAACAATAATAACAACAACAACAATTCTCACCGCGGAAATCCAGATCAAACACGCACCCAAGGATGGTTGAAGACCGTTCGGCTCCCTCACTTTGATACGTTTTCGTTAACTCGGCCCAGTTCTTTCGCTCGGATCGTCGTCGGCCGTCCCTGACGAACGGACAACACATACACACAAACTCATACGCATAGGGGGGACGGAGGGGGCTCCCCGGGGACCGCTCGAACGGGAAGGGAGGTCCCCGCTCGAACGGGAGCCTCCCCTGGGGTTCGACAACCCGCGCCCATACCCATAGCCAGTCCTACTCCCTCCGGCTCTCCTATGTGTATGGGGGTGTGTTGTTCAGTGGGTTGGTCTCTCTGCCACGCGCAGCTTCTCCCCTTGTCCTCCCTCTTCCGGTCTTCCCTTCTCCAGTGTGTGCCTTCGTTTGCTTCGTTGCGGCCAATCTTTGCCCTACCGGTGCTTGTGTCCAAGTGGCAAGCTGTTCGTTCGCCAGTCCGAAGGGCGCTCTCGCTTCGGCGCCTGCCGCGTTCCACGCCCCGCAACGTGAGCGCTGCTCTCCTCTCCCCTCTCTCGGCAAAAGGGGCGGTGAAACGACGGTCGGCACTGGGGCCTCGGATCTGCCCCGAGGTCCGGCGCGGCTCCCTCCCACATGCTCTTCGCCATGAGGGAAGCGGGTCCTGAGTTTTTTCGCCGTTTTTGGGCTCTCGGGGCCGTTCCACGGGCCCCGGGACTGTCAGAAAACGCCTCAGGATGAAGAGCTCGTCATGGGGGAAGGCCCCAGGGTCCAGGACCCGTTTCCCTCAGGACCCGTCTCCCCTATGCTAAGGTCTTTTTATTCTCCTCCTCTGCCTCCTCTTCTTCCTCCTCATAGTCTTTCCCGGCTTCGTCCTCATGCTTCCGGGGGTCGACGAACACTTTGTTTAGGCAGTATCGTGGATCGTTTTCGTTTTCTCCACGTTTTCGGTATGCTTTCGTTCTGGGGGCCACCACTGGCCAATCACGATTTCGGATTTGCGGGGAATCGGTCGGATCATTTTCGTTTACAAACGCCTCAAATCGAAAACGATACGAAAACGCCAAACACTGGTTTGGTCGACCCCCGTGTCCTGCGTCCTGCGTCCTGTCCTCCCCTCCTCCCCCTGATCCCGCATCCTTCGCGTGCAAATTCTATTCAGGGGTCAAGGTCTAACTCGACACTTGGACTGGCGAATCGGAAAATGGTCGGCACACTTTACAGGCACGGGGGGGAGGGATAGGATGTCAGATGTGGCGCGAGCGCGCACAACGTGCCTCTCCCATCTCACTCCTCGCCATTCTCCCCCTCTTTCTCCCCCTCTTCTCTCTCCATGTATTTTGTTTTTTGTTCTCTCTATCTATCTCTCTCTGTCTCTCTGTCTATCCTCACATTTTTCTTATCTCTCTCTGTATGTATCCTCCTCTCCTTTCCTTCCACTCTTTCTGTATCTCTGTCTGTCTCGTTCTCTCCCCCTCTCTCGCTTTTTTTTTTTTTTTTTTTTTTTTTTGTTTTTTTGTTTTTTGTTTACTCTCTGTCTCTCTCTCCCTTCCTCTCTCTGTCTCTTAACCTTGCCTGCCTTCTCGCCCGATCCCATAGCTCCCTGTGGCCTGCTGTTGCTCGTCGGCAGCACTGGCTCGAGGCCGTCACCACGAGATCCCATTCTCCCCTGAGTGGGTTCGGATGCAATTCGAGTTTGCCTTAGCACAGCTCACAAGGGCTACTTGAGACAGTTTTTGCTAGAGTCCATTCTCGGCATTGCCAGGTATCTCAATTGGAGCGCGGGCTCATTGCTGGCTTCTGGCTTGTCTTGGCTGGGCTGTACATAGACACCAGTATGTACATATGACATGTCTTCGATCTTCTACCAAGTTGGTGGTTTAAGCTGTCCTTTACCAACTCGATCATGCGCTGTAATCTGCCTGTGTGTAGAGCACCCAGGCTGACGAGTTTTGCCCCGGTTTGGGAGTTCGTTTGGGCCCTTTGGCTTTTACCGCCGCCCCCCAGCTCGGCTCCACTAAAGTTCAAGGCCCCAGAAAACGACATCACGGCCGTCGATGCTGATTTGGAATCTTT